ACCAAGTGATAACAGCTTTTTGTGACACAAATGTCAGCTGACAGATTTTTTTTTTCACTTCCAGTGCAGTTGTATTTTCCCAGCCTACAACCACCAAAGAGCCGCTACTGCCCGGAGCAGAGGGCAGCTAAAAAACTGACACTGCTAGTATGGTGCGCTCCCAACACTGTAAACTGTCAAGGTAGCAAAAATGACCTATGTGCTGTGTGTGTGAATGTGTGTATGGGAGTGTGTAAGTGTGTGAGAGAGTTAGAAACTGTCAAAACATCCATTTATCAAGGAGAACCTATGGGGTCTCAGCAGAACGCTTCTCTGACTTGTCGCACACAAAATCACACACACATCTACACACAAATGCTGTTTGAATATCAGTCATATTACGTATAAACTGTATCTCAGTTATAAAGAATGTTAAGCATTTTAGAGTCTTTCAGTTTACTGTTCCATTTTGGTTCAGTCCCGTCCTCCTTACTTCTGCCAGGGAGGTTATGGTTTTGGTTCCGTGTGTGTGTGTGTGTGTGTGTGTGTGTGTGTGCGTTGGTTAGCAGGAGTACAGACAAATGGCTGGATGGATCATTAGCATACTTGGTACAGACATTATTGGGCACCAACCCTAGAAGTAGTTAGAGTTTGGCTGAAAAAGGTCCAAGGTCAAAAAAAGAAAAAAAATTACACACTCAAAAAATCCTCTTTAACATGGGGCAAAATGTTTAAAAAAAAAAAATCACATAATTGTCCAAAGTTATCAATTTTTTTTTTTTTATTTGACACACACATGTAGGGTGGCAATGTCTATCACCAGACCAAATTTCATTTAAATCTGATCTTGATTCTGGATCTGACAGCCATTTAAACTTAACATTGAAAACCCATTTAACACATATTTTCTGCCATACAGTAACTTGCATCTTTTTGCTTTTTCATATTTTGAGACTTACGTATTGTAAACAGCCATGTGCTAGGTAAATTCTTTATTATTACTTCAAGTTATATCATACTTTACATTAATTCTAGGGATAAAGAGCTGAAAATGTTGTCATAAGCATTGGTAAGCACTCAAACTACAGAGCTCCAGCCATCAGACAACACTACAAGCACTTTTCTAGTTCCCAGTCTGTACAGCTAAAAATACTGAAAGCTGACCCACAGCTATAAAGTAGTGGCTAAAGAATAATGTTGAGTGCATCACTGTCAAGCTCAGAGTTATTAGGATGAAGACTGTACAGTACATGATGGTGATGGAGATGAGTTTAGACAGATAGATGGGGATTTGTTCAATCAGGGTCTTATACTGTACATGAGTATACCAATACTTATAATGCTGGAAGAGTCAAGATACTGGATTTTGTCTACAATTCACAGTGGTGGGTGTGATAATTATGTAGTGTAATTAGTCTGTACAGCAGGCGTAAAAAGCACGTTGATAGATGGTTTTAATGTAGTCAAGAAGCGGTTGTTCCAAAGGACGACACGTGTTAAATTGTCTCTGAGACACAATGACGGGAAAAAAAAGATTTTAGGTACAAGTGTAGATGACAGTGTTTTTAGCGTAAAGTTGAACTGAGACACTGGAAATGGCTGATGGGATGTTGCTGATGTAAATATAAAACAGAACAGGACTAAGTGAGGAGCTCTGAGGGACTGCTTTAGTTATTGTAGTGCGTCAGGCTATTATTTTCTATGTTCACAGACAGAGTGGTGAGTGAGATAGTTGTTCGAGGACTAAACAACGTCTGTAGGTCAGTGGTCGTAATGTGAAGAATCTTAATTCTGTGTATGAGCAAGGTGTATTGTTGAAAAATTTTATATACAAACCCCATTTCCAGAAAAGGTGGGGCATTTTCCAAAATACAATAAAAACTAAAATCTGTTGAACTTTTATTTAACTGACAAAAGCATAAACAAAAGGTTTTCAGTGTTTTCACTGACCAACTTCATTACATTTTGTAAATATAAACACATTTAGAATTGAATGCCTGCAACACACTCAAAAACAGTTGGGACAAAGGCCTGTTTACTTCTGTGTTACACCACCTTTCCTTTTAAATTCCTTTTAATTCTTTTAATTGTTTGGGAGTTGAGGATAGAAATTGTTGCAGTTTTGCAAGTGGAATATTGGCCTGTTCTTGCTGGATACAAGACTTCAGCTTTCTGTCCATGGTTGCTGTTTTCTGATTCTCCTCTTCGTGCTGATGATACATTTTCAATAGGAGACAGACCTAGAATACAGGCAGGCCAGTCACACACACACACTCTACGAAGCCACACTGTTGTAGCACACGCAGAATGAGCCCTGGCATATATTTAAATATAGTTCTATATTTCTAAGCATTTTATTTTTATTTTTTCTTAATACACATTCCTTTCTTGTTTGTTCTCTCAGTCGTATCTTGTTTCTTTGTCTACTCATTGCTTTACTTTGTACATGGTAGAGCCACTGTACCAGCATACGCCTCCGTGTCGACGGTACCTTCACACATAGTCACCCATGCTGTGGGCATTGATGCAGCCCCACACCATCACTGATGCTGGCTGTTGCACCTTTTGCCGATAACCGTCTGGTCTTTTTCATTTTTGGCACAGAAAACCCCACGTTTGTTTTTTCCTGTTTTTCTGTCAGCCCAGCTCAGATGAACTCAAGCCCAGAGAACTCAGCAGCCTTTCTGCACAGAATTGATGCATGGCTTGCTCGTTGTGTAGTCGAGTTTCAGGATGCAGCGGCAGACTGTGTTAAGTGACAACAGGTTCCCAAAGTCCTCCGGAGCCCATGTGGCAATATTCATCATGGTATCATGGAGGTTTCTCATGCAGTGACTCCTGAAGACTCAACAGTTGTTTTTGCCCTTGGCCTTTACACAGTGAGATTTCCCCAGATTCCCAGAGTCTTAGGTACTGTAGATGCTGAAAGACCTAAATTGTTTGCAACTTTGCTTTGATAAGTATTCTTGGTAAACTGATTAACAATTCTCTCATGCTGTTTGGCACAAAGTGGTGAGCCACAAACATCCTTGTCTGCAAAGACTAAGCCTTTGGTGGATGCTCCTTTTATACCCAGTCATATTACCATCACCTGTTCCCAGTTAACCTGCTAATTTTGGAACCTTCCAGAACAGTGTTACTGGAATATTGTAGAAACGTTTTAGTCTTGTTTAGTCTTTGTCCCAACTGTTTTTGAGTGTTTTGCATCATCGATATCAAATTCTAAATGTGTTTATATTTACAAAGTGGAATGACAGTGAAAACCTTTTGTTTTTACTTTTGTCAGCCAAATAAAAGTTCGACTAAATCACAAATTTGAGCTTTTATTGCATTTTGGAAAATGTTCCAACTTTTCTGGAAATGGGTCTGTGTTTCATTTTAGATGAAGCCACAAAACTACTGTACAAACCAAAAAGATTTGCTAGGGGGAAAAACACAAACTCATGTGCACATCACACCTGTAAAGGTTTGTTTCTATTATTATTTATTCATATTACTACTAATATTTTTGTTTATGTAGTCATGCCACAGGTTTGTTATTATAGTAATCTAACATGCTTTTTGGCTTTTGTTTTCTTGCTACAGGATACATCAACACAGTCTGAGACAACTGAAATCAAACTACACTGTAAATGGCCAATGGCACAGGGCTTTACAGCTTTTGACACGCATGAGTGGTGGCATATCCATGAAAAAGCTTCTATGAAGAGGTACCTTGGTTTAAAAACCTTTGGGAACCACTGAGACTAAGGAATAGTCCTACACATGGAAATTATTTGAGATGCAGTCTCACTAAATAGCAGTTAACATGAATCACGAGCCTTCATGAGCCACATCTACCATATGCTAGTAGCAAACATACAGTTTGCTTCACCTTCCTCAGATTTTTGCCATTCAGCACTAGATTTATACCTTATGTAACCTCACCATAATACTGCAAAGCTGATCTCCTGCTCTAAATCCATTCAGTCAAAAACTTATTGTGCAGCAGCTCGAAGTGGAAAAAAAAAGAACATCTCTTATCTAGTTAGGAGTATAGGTTTCAGGCATATTGAACCAATTAAATGAAACAATACAGGCTGAGTTTATGTAATCTAGACGTTATAACGCAGACCTATCGGGATGTGGCACATTCACCCCTCATGCTGATTTTACAGAGAAGGAATCATTTTGCTCAAAACACTAATCCAGTTCTTCCAGCTCTTTTCTTAGGACGTGAAAGACAATCCATCTATTCCTCCTGGCCGCTGTTCAATCACACTGCTTTCTGTTGTGTGGGTTGGAGGTGAGGTAAATGTTTCTACCACTCCACTAACAGCCAGGGGAGCCGGGGGCATGGTGACATCTCACTGTTATAAAGATCACAGCTGGAGTTCTAATTCATCACCCTGGGCATCATCATGTGGCATTACAATATGCTAATGTAGCGACGCCGTGCCCTCCCTGTCACCTCGTCTGCTCTCTTTCATCTTTCGCCCTCTTCCCTCCGACTCCCTCTCCTCTGTCTCCCCGGGGATGGCTGAAGCTTCTCGCCTTCTGTGATATGCACCTCGCTGCCAGTGTGTGTTGGGGGCTGAAAGTGATGTCGGAGCTGATGTTGGAATTAGGTGAGCGTTGCATGTAGTTGTCTTACTGCAGCTGACGAACATGTAATTAGCCTGTGGTGTCAGCATTACAACTAGATCCCATTTAATAAGCAAATGCTTTCCCTCAGCTGGAAAAGTACTGTCTCACATGTCCTCAGACATGATAAAAAAAAACAACCTTTGCAACAGGTGTTGCTTTGTGGGGGGAGTTGGGGTTTCACAGAGATACAGTAGCCTGCAATGAGGAGTACCCAGCCAACATGCTGATGGTCTCTACATGCTGATCCAGTGGTGATGTGATATTTAAATTTGTTCAAAATAGTTTCTGAAGCTGTTAAAACATGCATATTTACTGCATCATTATAATACCAAAGTTTTGGTCATTGCTAAATTCATCAGTGGGCATTTTGTTTGTGTTATGTCCTTAAACCTTACCCCATGCGACGGATACGTTAGCCAGCCCCAGTCTCCTGTGATCGTCGTTGTGTCCAGTAGATTCACTGCAGAGAAAAAAATAAATAAAATAAATAAAGAGGTGAGTGATAAACTTTAAATGATTCTTTTCCCCATTTCCCTGTCTATCCTGTCCTTCATCACCATTCTCTGCGTGCACTAGCACCTGACAGCTTACACACACACACACACACACACACACAGGTGTGACTGATGAGGCGGGACCGCCATCACGGCGACTGAGCCCAGTGTCACAGCCAGTGATGTCACCTTGACCTGATTCACCCTTGGAGCTCAGACCTCAGTAGTCCAGGCCCAGAATAGAACAGGAAACAAAACATTTAGCGTGAACTACAATCTCAGCGGCAGCTAAACTCATGATTTAAATGTGAAGGGTCAAAGAGAAGACTGCAAGCGTGACTGCACCCTCACGCTAGGTAGGTAGGAAGGTATTAATAAAAGCTGAACAGACACACATTTCAATGTATTTCAGGTATAAAAGTACAACAACAGCATGAAAGCAACATTTTTTTAAAACCAGACAGACAACAAGGAATTAAATAAAATATGGAGTATAATAAATTAACTACATGAAAGTACTGGCAACCACACAAACATTCAGAAATAATTAGAGAACTCACTAACACCATCACTGTCATGATCCCCAAGTACTTCCTGTTTGGTTATTTTATTTTGACAGCATTTCCTGTCTCAACTCTTTGTGCATAACTTGCATGCAAGGTTGCCTGTTGTTTCAGACTCTCCTGTTTTGTGTAGTTACCTTCCAAATATTACTTACTTTTACTTCCTGGCAGCCTAGATATCCTCTGTCAGAAACGACGCGTCTAATGCGGCCGAAAAGTGTTAGGTGAACTCAATTAAATGGCCAGACGAGGAAGTGTAAAACAAAGCCGTCTCTCTGTTAAGAGAACTAACGTTGAACTAAAGAAAACCATACAAGACACGGTGAAAACACAAAACTCACATGTCCTTAACAGTCCGAGGTCAGAGCCAGAAAACACACCCAACAGAGGTGATCCAAAATACGTAGTCCAGAGGGAAGTCTGATATCATACACTGTGGCAGTCCGAGACAAGAGGGCAAAGCAGAAACGAATATACCAAGGTAACAGTCCGGGTCAGAAACACAAGATACCAAAACCGAAAGCTGGAGAGTCAGAGCTGGGGTCTAGAACAATCTGGCAGCGTCCTGGTGGGAGGACGTTGCCTAAATAGAGGTGTAAACAATAACGAAACAGGGGAAACCAATGTGAGTGATGAAGAATGTAAAAAGACCAAAACTAAGGTGAAACGAAAACAGGAAGTCACGTCAAAATAAAAGCCGGACAGGAAGCAGCGGAACCGAATCATGACAGTACCCCCCACAAGGATGGCTCCCAGACAGCCAAACACAAAACAAACCAAAACCGAACCAAGCACGGAGGGAGGAGGGGGCCAGGCAGGAGGGCACGAAGAAAGAAAAACAAAACCTCAAAAAAACAAGAAACCACAGGGACCACAACACTGACAAGGGGAACGAGGACCAAACAGACAAAAGAACAAGAATAGAAAAAACTACCCGAAAAACAAAGTCCTAGTCCAGGGGGTGACCCCAAAAAACGGGACCAGACAGAGACCAGAGAGGCCGCTCGGGTGGGCGACCCCGGGACCAGGCAGGAGATGGTGGCTGCAGCGGCCGGGGGGG